CTAAGTCTAGCCGTACTTAAGTACGGCTAGCCACTTCGTATCTAGAATCTAGATCTAGATCTTGAGGGCTAGGGTAGGGGTAGGGTTAGGGTTAGTGTCAGGTTTAGGGTTAGGGTTTGGGTTAGGTCTCCTCTTTATTGTTAAGTGTGTTCGTCGTGTCGTCTGTCACGGCACGGAAGTCCTTCCAAAAATTTACTTTTGTGAGTCGAGTCTGAGGTCTGAGTCTGAGTCCGTCAAATGAGTAGGCTACAAAGTGAAATAAAATCATAGATTACAAATCACAATCACATAAAAATCTTACGTCATCACTCTGCATTTTGAAAACAAAGAATAGGGTCTGTTCCCTATTTCAGCAAAGAAAAAAGCCAAGTTTATTTCCACAGCCACCAAACACAAGTCTGTAAACATGTGTTGCACCAGTCCAAAACACGACAGCTTTCACCGGAAGTAGGATTGAGTTTTGTCGTGGGAATCGTCTCCCCTGTTTGCCAATACTAAAAAACGCAACTGAGATCAAAGAAGTGAAACAACTTTAGTTATTTCGTTTTTGTTTCAACCATAGAGTTACCTCCTTTTAAACTATAGTGTACATCTATGGTTTCAACCAACATGCAGAGCAATGCAAGTACTTTTATGTATCGAATAAAAAGGGGGAGGGGGGGGGGGGGGGGGGGAGGAACACAGGAGTAGGGAGAAAGAGAGGGGGGGGGTAGGAAAAAAGGGGGAGAGAGAGTAAGCAGTCACTATAGAACCTAGGCACGCGCACAAACAGGCAAACAACACACTCTCCCCTGGGACGATATTATCATTGGTCTCTGATATTATTCACTTAATATAGTACCAATTTTTAATAATAATAATATACATGTATATAGGCCAAGGAGATTAAAAGTAATTAGTTCTAAATTCCTTGATATAGGCCTATATATAATAATAATATAACATTTATAGAGCACATTTCTCAAAAAAGTAGCTCAAGGCGCTTTACATTGGAATACCCATTTTTTTTTTTCCAAAACCTTTCTTACTGCTTCCTTTCTTCTCATGCAATATATTATATATTTAGGCACACACACACACACACACACACACACACACACACACACACACGGACTATTTTCCTCCAGACATAGGCACAGAACAACTATAAGAAGAAAACATAAGGCTAAAAGTTTAGGAAGGACAGGCCTGCTCAATCTTAAAGCATAAGATGTTTTGGAAGTCGAAAAGTTAGAACAAACTGTAGGCTACTACATTGTTGCACTTTCTCCTCAACAGAACCAGAACACAGATTATAACTTTGACAACATTATATATATATATATAGCTAAGGCCAAACAAAAATGTACAAACGACGTAAGCTAGCGCAACGAAAGTGTGGTAAGAAAAGAGGAAAATCCATAAACCAAACTGAACTCCAACATGTGTAAGAAAATAGAATAGGTCTTGATCTAGGCCTAAAGTGAGAAAGAAGGTAAAACGAAGAGAAGAAAATAATATGTGGAAAGTAGAACAAACGGACAGAGGCAAATAGAGGGGAGGGGGGAAAGCACCCCCCACCCACCCCCACCCCT